GTACATCAGATTTTTCTGAATGTGATATTTTTTATTTATCGTTCAACTCGCGAAAGTCTAGACATGATTTCAACGTCCAGATGCCCGTCGAGGTTGAGCAAACACCTGACACTATGGATAAATATTTTACACTTGCATATATATTTCTCTGTTCATCTGCCCCACTGATCTAAATAACTCAAAATAGCGTCAGAATCTGTAATTACATGAATCATTGACGCTCGACATTCGATTGGATTTATTTCCAGAGATTATTCTGATTGAATTCGATTTGAAAACGAGATGAGGTCAATGGGCATGTCCACTGGACTCGAGAGATCGAGAGTTTCGAGTCATCGAGTCTCGTATTACTCGTTGCAATCCAGAGAAATATATTTTTTAATATAAAAAATGAAGGCCTTCCCTGAATAAAGATTCTTGCGTCAATAGACTGCTGAATTAATTCAAGGATTTACTCGTTCTTGACTTATTCGCCCAATCTATCAAATTGTCGGATTATTCTACTTGAATCAAGTCCCCTTGAATCAAACCGATCATGTATTTCTCCAAATTGATTCAACCGATTTTTCGATTTGATTCAAAAAAAGGGGTGCCCCTTTTTTCCACCGAGCATGATGAGTGAGCGAGGAAAATCGTTATCTCAGATGTCCCATTTTTTAATATCAAGATATTGTTTTCTCGTTTTTTTTTTTATTCTAACATGAGAGTTTGAGTCTTTGTAAGGAATATGGGTGATGTTGCCAGGGTGACGCACCCGGCGCCAGTTCGGAGGGTCGATATCTACGACGCCCCACGTACCGCGTCCTCTCGCTGTAACTTCGCTATCTGCGAATTACAATTTCCAATTTTTATCCCTCATAGTGACTCACCGCAACACATTCGACAAATCTAACGGTTACATTTGTTGTCGCTGCACGGTAGCTTTCAAGTTTTTATCAGTGAAATATTCCAATTGGCAATCGCATGACTCGACATCGTTACAGAGGTCTTACCTCGTTTCACCGAGTTCTCACCTGAATTTAATGCCAAAAGACGTTTCAAACCGGCTGTTACGTCATTATTACAGATTTATTTTGGGTTCAGTGGTCTATCAATTATTTGGCTTAAGGGCTTAATTCATTTGATGCATGCATACCTTTTCGCTTCTGAATGGAATTATTCCAGTGGTTCTAATTTTAATTACTGGAATAATTTAATAATTGAATTACTATAAGAGTTCCCAGAATTTTAATTCAAAGATGAGGAATCAACTCGATTCAGACCAATCATAAGGATTCACAACGACTCGCTAATTGATCAGCGACAATTGTCATCTCAAGACCGTAATAATACTATTATTATTCTTTTTTTTTTTTTCAATAAAAGAAATGCCGAGGGCGACGTAGGAGGCTCGAAAATTTGCATTCCATTCTGAATATTCACGAGAATCTGACGATCATTGCACAACCTTCTCAATTAATTCAGTCTGAATCATGAGATGAATCATGACATGAAATCCCTCTGTAAATGGTAGTAATGGAAGTTATTTAAAGGGATATGTACTCACTATATCACTCCCAATATTCCTCACATGTCGAATATTGACCGATCTATTTTTAAACGACCTCTCACAATCGCAAATAGTTGGCACCACGGTCAAGACCAAAATTAATCCATTACTCTCCATTACTCTTCGAAAAAAAAATTTTTTAAGTAGAATCCCGTTATAGTTGTAGTTAATCGAGAGAATGAATTTGATCGCGTAAATATTGAACGGCATTATCAGAATATTAGTATCAGACAAATCTGAAATATTTCGCAGATCGCAAATACATTTTTTAACTCGTTCGGTAAAAGGGGGATTATTGATATTTGCATTGATAAAATCATCTCTAGGTATTTCCAAGTATTTTCGATCGTTCCACTGAAAAACTTATCGTTATCTTATTTCTCATTTTCTTGAATTTCGTGTGAAAGACTTCTGGAAAGAAAGGAATGTACGTGTCTCTGGATAAAAAGACATCGTGCAAAGACGCGAAGATAAAATACGATTTTTCGTTGCTCGATACGTAATGTACTGTTTTTCTCGGTGCTATTTGTCGCTCAGGGTTTACTTCCGATTGGTCTGTCTCGAGACACAAACCCAACCCATTAACCCAACAGACTGTTATTACGTCGTTACGGGTCGCAGTGCGTTCACAGGTGCAGCACAGGATGCAAATTCCAAATGGAGTTCTATCACCTGATGAGTTTACGGTGTCGTAGATTTGGCAAGGAGATAAGGGATGGGGTCGTCGTCGTCGAAGTACTATTTGAGAAAGTACAGATAACTGCCAAAAGGATTAAATTATTTTTTATTAATAAAAATATAGATAACTGCCGCGAAAATTTAGAGTTGTAAAAATTTTTACATTTTATTTGAGATTTCAAGAGTCATTTTCAAAATGTGTGCTAATCACAATTGTTTGAATGATTGATTCGATTAATGACTCAATGATTTCACAATTTTTGACATCAATGAGAGAATATTTTTTTTGGAATAAGCAAATCTCGGTGGTGAAAATGATTTCCTCTCGGTGTAGATGCAACCAATGGGAGTCATCATCTCCCTTTTCATTTCGTCATGTTTTATCGCCGTTTTTCACACTTTTGGCTGACAATTAACATTTTTTCTTTCACTGTTTAATTCTAATCCTTTCCGGAATCACGCTTCGACCTGAGGCTGTGCCACTTTCTCATTCGGCTGCTGTTCAATTGTCCACAGCCATTTACCACTGCATTTTTTTCGTGGAATTGACTCATTGCCCTGGTTCCACCGTCACCTCTTGTTTCAACGTCACAGATGGAAACGAGATAATGCGCAGAGAAAATTATGGAACTACGTGGAATAAAAAATTACGGAATGCCAGGGGAAAGGATTACTCCGAGGCACAAGTGAATGCTTTTTCAAATCTATCATGATGATGAAAAACACCATCGGGTGATCTTTATGCGGAATTTATCGCGGGTTTCACCGTCCACTCATACATTCAGTGTGGCAACAGCTCAAGATTGAGATATAACTCCATTGAAATTCACATTTTAGGAAATCGTTAAACATTAGGAATTTTCCATGTCGCCGCCACGGGGTTCCAACGGTTTTTTCACTTTCCCCATCTTTTTGTTATTCGTTATTTATAAATAATTCAAATAACTTCATACAGTTCATCTGATTTCGGACGTGATAATTTTTATAATTCATTCGTTTGATTTCACCTATTGCCCTTTACTTTCTAAACAACTCGCGTTGAATGACTAGACGTCATCAGTGATAACTTGATGAATTTAATCCCGAATTTCGTACAATCCAAATAGAATTATCTGGGATCGTTCAGATAAGAGATTCGATTGTCGCCGTTGAACGGGTAATTTCCGGAGCTTGTGACGTTTAAAATTCAATCGGCATCCCACATTTGTTCTCTGTTGGCACCAGATTTTCACAGAGAATCTGTCTTTGTAAACTAAACTTGGAAGGACATAACGGTTGACAATACGTGCTTTATTACCACTCGATTCATCGACGTGGCATTCCTGATTGCCATTTCCTTTTAAAATCCAGATGTAACAATAAGTGTCTAGCGCCTTTCAGATGGATTTAGGATCACTAGGAGAATTATCTTGGTGGATGCTTGGTTGGAAAAATTCTCAATCAAAAATCAATCAGGTATTTTCTTCAAGTCGTCCAGTCTTCATCTGATTATTTTGACACTCTTGTGGCATTGCATACGAATATTTCGGATTCTCTGTGTTTAATTTTTTTCTGTGCTGTTCATAAACTGAGTTGGTCGGAACAAGAGATTAATTGAAAAGATTCGTCAGTCATGCTGTGCGATGTTGGACGCCGATTGGTCGAGGTCGCACAAACGTGGAAAGACAACTCCATAAACCAAGTAAACCTCACAACTACATCTACCCGAGATGAATCTGTGGAGTTAGTTAAGATCATTCCGCTTGAATGTAGTAGTTTGTCCATAAACGGATTCGAACTGAAGTGTTGCCTCCTATCCGTTCTAGGCCAGACAGGCACGTAGGGAGGTCTATTCCTATGGTTAATCAGACGTACATGGTCTTGCATGATTATTCTGACAAAAGACCCCGTGAAAAAATCAATTACCGCTGTTTGATCATTTCTCTCAGAATTTTAAATGAAATACGTGTGGATTATTCCGAACACTGAAATTCACTTCGAACAAAAACATTCCCAATTATTCAATCTCATTCAGGTCTCAGCCGAGAATTTTCCATCGACCTCCCAAGATAAAAATCTCGTATATAAATACTTGCTGCTCCACGTGCTCGTTGATAAAATCAATCATCAGGATAAAACACCTCACCGGCATCCTTCGATTTTCCATTTCAATTACCTCGACCTCCCATCTTTGAAAACCTCGGAACAGAAAAATTCGAAGAATTTCTCGATCTTCAGAATTTGGTTTCGCTTTTTCACACGGTTTTCCTAAATCTTCTTAATACTTAGAACGATTAGTATTTACATATTTATGCATCTTAAAAGATAGCGTTGAAAAAATTGAGCTGGTGTATGAGAATAACTGTGAGCTGGATAGCGCATCTTGGATTGTGACACCTACTGCCAAAATGTATCTATCAAAACACTGAAATCAAGATCATTTGTGAGGATGCAGCTCATATAGATCAATGCAAATCATGCAGGTCATCCAAATCCTGGACATCATGCAGATCTGCGAATGAGTGAGTGACCAGTGATTCAAATGACAGTCCTGATAATCCTTGAAATGAATTTCAGGGATTGTCTAGCTGCTCTGAGCTTGACAAATATCTTCATTGGCAGAGTTCTCCCACACTCAGTCCTCCCCTCATTGTCGTCATTCTTCAAGCGGTCAGGATGTCTCGTCAATCTCAACGAGCTCGAACTTCTCTGCTCTCGGGACGTATCGTGACCACTCGTGGCTCTCCGGCGTTCCCGATACGCCATGGTCATTCAGTCTCGACTGAATCGTCGACAAGAACGGAGTGATTCCATTCCCGCCAACTCGTGCTCCACCACGAGTTCCACCCGCTGTCACTTGACAGCTGATCACAAATCAGCCCAACCACATACATACATTACCCCAAAATATTGTGCAACACCTGTGGTACCATAACTCACCCCTAAATGTCATAAATTCTCCTGATTTACCCCTCCAAATAATTTCCAAGTGAACATCACAATAGAATAACAGGTAAAACCCATGTGTTCGTGACACTACCGCAAATTCATACAACTCGAGTATAAACAGATAAACTGTAATTTCGCCCGGAACTAATGCCAAACAATCAGATGACGCATTGCAAAGGCCAATCCAGCAGAATACAGAAATACTAGCAAATAGTTAGAGACTTAAATTCTATTTTGAGGGGAAAACCTCAAGGATAGCGACCGGTTCACTAATTTAATTGTCTTTGAGTGTTTGGTTGGAGACCACGTGGATTTCTGACGTAAAGTAGACGTCAATGATTAGAGATCATATGGTGGAATGTTTTTGATGATGAGTTGACATTTGAGTAATGAAAAAAAAAATCATCTCCACTGAGATTATAATCGGCTCATGTGAAAATTGTGAGAAGTGATGAGATTTTTATGTGAATAGTGACGGATGATGTTTGAGAATTGTGTGCCGAAGTGGTCGACTGGATCGATCTTACGAGAATGTTGACAGCTAGATCAGGAGCACTCGGGGTGGGTAGAGTCCCTAGAACCCCGGGTCCAGTTGAGGGAAGTGATCACCTGTTTCTGTTGCCTGAGAGAGCCCTCATCATGGACAGCACTCATCTCAGGCAGGATCTCGCTGGACTGGATTTCAATCTTCATCTCAATCTGCTTCATACTGCACCACGTGGAAACGTCTGGCTCTGTGAGTTTATCCAATTGAAATCGCCTGGAAATTAATGTAGTCCATCGTCGAGTACCTTCTTGAGGTCCTTGAGGACCCGGTTCTCTTGGAGAAAAAGAAGGGCTTGGGGTGACTGGTGGAACAAAGAACGTAAAAATGTGGAAGATCGGATCGTCGCGAATTCGTGGAAATCCGCGGCGCACAATAGGCGTGCGAACTTGGTACATTCCAATTAACTCCTGGTTTATTATTTACTTCTTTTTTTTAATTCACTAGTAATAGTTCATTTTCATTCAGAATTCATCTTGGATTCCGATTTCACGATCAACTTCTATTCATGTAACTCCTAGGTTCTCTGGACGAGGAGAGAAATCCGTAGTCGACGAGTCAAAATCGTGTTCCATCAATTTCTAAAACAAATTCGCAATAAAAATCCAGGGGGTTATTGCAGAAAGTACGGAAATGTTCTGTACTTTTTAGTGGACGGTTCACCATTTTTATTGAATTTCTTCCCTCCGCGTATTGAGTTGGAAAAACTTTGACAATCTCCAAGTTTTTTGTACCTCATCTTAAAGAATAGAGAAGAAATCGTTTATTTCTTGATCCGTTTATCGCCGAATTACGGAACTGCGCACTTTTCCTTCTGGAGAAAGTATTGATGGATTTATCTGATTGGCTCTACATTAAATTATTTGTGCAAATCTAATATCGAACAGGTGTATTTCATAATTATTGGTCATTGCTCCATTCTGAATATTTCTTATGTGATGAACAGATAAAAAACGAATAATTTTGTAAAAATTCCACTGAAATATTCTACTCCATCAAAAAATTTAATTTCATTCAATTATAAAAAAAAAAATTAATTTCATTCAATTAATTTAAAAAATATGATTTTCTCATTAGAAACTCGTCATTTCACTTGCTATAACGTAAAGAAAAATTTTAGTCCACATTTTTTTCTCTGGGGATCCATCAATGCTGTCACCCGCATCGGCTAGATTCCTAATAAATAATCATATTGTTACTACTTTAACGTGAAAGTTGGAGTGAAATAACTTTCATCTACTCAATGATGTCTTCCATGATTGATGAGGACTGCATGCGACATGGGCCCTTGCGTGTCATTTGCCCTGTCACTTGAATATGTCATTGATTCAATTATCTCCATGTGCCAGACCCTCGCGTATATTAACGATCCTTGATGCTCTAGTAAAGATTGTACTGTCGGAGAAAAATTGAAATTGTATGGAATTTACTTGACTAACCATTTCACAGAGTGACATTCAATTTCTTTTTCAAAGGCGAAAATTCTGTAAAAATCATTTCCGTTATTTTGAACTTTTCGGAGAAAAATTACAACACCACCAGATGAATTTTATTAGTCATTATGATACAAATCGGCAAACGAACTTAAGTTCCATAATTTTTATTAAATATTTCTCTCTGCGTGGGAGAAAAAAATAAACTGTCTTAAAATCTTAACTGGAAATTTTTGGTAAAATATAAATCTACGAGGCTATATCTGGGTTCAATCAATTTTTTTTTAATTAATGGTTGCATTACTAGTTTTCAATTAATTCATAAGTATTTGAGTTTATTAAATGACAATTGATTTTCGTCGACAGTTCATCCGCGACTCGTACACTAGCTAGAGAGATCCGTTACTATTTTCATGGAAGTTAATTATTTTCTTTTTGTCTACTCGAGTCTGCGAAATTCGAGACATGACGGTTAATCGACGCGAAGTCTTCTCGGAATGCCTAACGGACATGTTTTTTATGTTCGAGGAGAATGGATTGTAATAGCGCATGCAGAGTCTACATTGTGACCAATGTAATTAAATAGATTTTCAGATCTCGTTCGAAAAATGAGAACAGAGTAAATTAAAGTTAAAGAACAGTATATCTTTGTGCAATCAATAATGCTATAAATGAGAATATGAAATTCAAACTGCACATCGTGGAAATCAATAGCGAAGAGGTGAAGTGTAACGAGTCGATATCCTTGATTTCAAGTCATGTATCTCCGAATCCAAGGAAAATAGTGAAATTTTTCTGAGGACCTCTTTTGTACAGTGAAATGAGAGCTACAAAAAAGATTCTGATAAAATTTCGCTATCTCTTTCAGAATCAGAGATATTTCTGGAAAAATACATCTTGGTCACTTAAGTCAAGTCAATTGGGACGCGGGAGAGTATTTGCAATTTTTTTTCTCGGCTTTTTGATAGAATTTTGAATTCACGTTGAGTCTCATGCTCTCCACGTTCCCGACATTTTCAGAAATACCTAATCAACCGGGTTTTACCGTTTTGTTCGCTTTATCATGCAAGAACTTCACGTCATAAATTTCTCTCCTTGGAAAGATAATGTCGGGCTGTTTGCCAAATGTTATGCATTTCACTTGCCAAAAATCAATTCCAGAAATGATATCATGTATTGACCTTCATAATAACCAATCTGTTAAACAACTTTTGCACCGAGTGAAAATATTACTTTTGCCAAACTCTTCAGTGCACGGGTAAAAAAAAATTGTAATCGAAATATTTTTTCCAAATTCTCAAAAAAATTTCTGGAAAACTTTACAGAAATTTTTTTTACGTAACAAAAAAATCCGAAAACAAGACAATTTTATTTTTTGGAAAGGTTTTTACAAATTTTTCAAAAATTTGAATGAGAATTTTTTTTTTCTGAAAACTCTTCCGGAAATTTTTTGAAAATTCGGAAAAAATATTTCGATTACATGTTTTTTTACCTGGGTAACTACAAAAAATCTACGTTTCAAATACAAATGTTTTTTTTTAGCAGAAGTATTTTTTGGGTGAATTTAATTCTCGATGTAAATTTCTCCAGCCCTTTGGGGAAAATTTAAGGTGCACGGTTATTTGTTGATTTATTTATCTTCAATTTTTTTTTCCACGAGCTTTCATGAAGATGGAAGCCGTCGTGAATAATTAATGGGCCCCTAGGAAGCTAGATGAGGTCTCGAATGAGATGTTGATGACAAAGTTATCCCCAGGCCAAACCACCTCGATCGATTTATTATAAACGATCATTGCAGGTGATGTCAACCGATAATCAACAACTCTCAATTAAACAAGTTATTGCAACTAGTGCGTTGAACTGCATGATCAGCTTGTCACCATCTCATATTTATGCATACCGGGAAGAGGAATAGAATATTTATTCTATCACTTGTCACATTTTCATATTGTTCAAGTTCATTCGACCGAGCCTCCTCCAATGCCTCAGTGATTCACTCAATCACCCATTATTTCCATAATTCGTGTCAATTAACTGATGACTAACTTATCTCGTTCGTCATAAACTTAAAATTTTCCACAGCATTATTGACACAAATTCAATGAACTTCTCTACTCGCAATTGATCTCCAATTCATGTGAGTTTAATGAACAACGAGACAAGTCGGGTAGAGGCATATTAGTTCTGTCAATTGTCATGTCAATCAGAAAATAATTAACCATTTTTCATATTTTCTTTCACGTTTCGTTTAACAATTTATTCCTATTGAATAATTTATAATTGAAGGATCAGAACTTCACCCATTGAGCTGTCCAAATTTTCTTGTTTACGCGAGTATTTTCTCATTCGTTTGATTATCCGATGAAGTTGTCACGCTCGGATAAGTCCTAAAATAATCGATGGCAAAATCAAATATCTAACCGATATTTTCTCTCATTACTGTTACAGGTAAGTACTCGAGTCTCTTGGCGTGTGATACATTGGGGGGAAGTGGTAATGTATCACAATTAAATTAAAAAATGACCTCAACACATCAAGCAATTTACAATTAAATCCGACGGATGTTATTTCCTTCGTTATTCAATGACTCGGCTTTCACCGTTTTAAATAATTTATGGATGGCATTCAATGGAGGAGATGCAATTGAGGTCAACTGTAACGCAGAAATTAGAGATGAACATGCTATAATGTTGGCTAAGAGCATGAAATGCTCAGCTATGGAATGAGAAATGGGTGTATAATCTTGTGGATCTCATGTACCAACTGGGGAAACCGACAATTTGCCAGACTGCGTAGCCAGCCTCAGTAATTCCTAATTTCTAGACTAACCAATTTTAATTGGAATTCATTTCATTACGCGATTACAGGGAATATCCAGTCGTATGGATTGCCCACATGTACAGCACTTAGTTCCATTCAATTAATTTGCCAGTTGAATTATCTCTATTCAGTCGGCTGCTGGAAATCACGAGTGTTTTACACCTATCAGGAAGTTATTTTGTGTAATTGAACATAATGGGGCGCGAGAGAAAGACGTGCTCTTGTCGACTTTAAATTACACTTGATACGGCATTTTTCTCTAATTTACTGGTGGTTTGTTATTTTTTTAATCTTTCTATAAATCTCGGCAATTTATGGGGTTTTACCAATTCTGGGGAACGATAAAAAGAAAAAATACAGAATCTAAATGAGGAGACAGTAAACACAGCTCCAAGGAGATTAAAGTCTTAAATGCATTCTTAATAAAAGTTGATTGCAATGGAACTATTTCTTTTTTTCTCATTTTCACGCAGTGGAAAAAATGGAAAATTCATGGCTCAATTCCTCCAATCGATTCAGCCGGAGTTTATACTATAGGAAATTATCGGTTGTCGTGGCATGAGGGACTCAAAAAATTATTACTCATACCAATTGCAAGTACTCACTGATGAATTATTTCTTAAGCACTTGGAATTTATTTTCTCTACCACTTGAAAAGGATCAATTGGAGTTTCTACCACTCTAATTACATTCGCTTCATTTACTCCTGAATTTTCCCGCGAAGTCGTAGCTAACACACGTAACAGACCTATTTTTACTTTTTTTTTTAACTTCCATGTTACACTATTTTACCAGTGCCATCGGCTTTTACGACTCTGGACATGAACACGTCCTCCGTTTTATCGATTTTCTAGTGAAAGAGAGCAAAGGATTTTACGACAGCCTTTTAAATATTTGAATTATAAGGCTTAGAAATGATCTACTGCATTTCTCACTGCA